CGTCGGGGGGGGGGGCCCCCCCGCGTCCCCAGGGGGCGGGCCTGCCGCTAGGGGGAGTGGCGAAGGGCTGGCGCAGCCAATAGGGGGCGCGGGGTTCGCAGCGCTGGGGGGGGGGCACCCCCCGGTCCCCCCCTCCCCGGGCCACGCGGGTGCCATGGCAACGTGCCATCCCCTGGCGGGTTTTGCCGCTCGGACCCCAGTCCCGGTGCCCCGGGGGCCGGGGCGGGGAAGCGGGGCCCCGGCTGGGGAACCCCGGCGACAAAACCCCCGATTTCAGGTTATTTAAATAAAAACCCAAAGCACAACCCGAACCAGCGAAGCCCGCGGCCAAAAGGGGCTGGGGCAGGCGGCCCCCGCGAGCGGGGCGATGCCGGGGCGATGCCGGGGCTGGACCCTGCCCAGGGCTCGGTCTCCCCCACGGCACGGCCACACCAGCCTGGCGCTGCCGCCATCTTCCCCGGGAGATTCCCGGTTTTCCCGGGTCATGGGGGAGGCTGGAGTGGGGCCGGGCACCGAGCCGGGGCCCAGGCGTGGCGGCCAGGCCGGGCTGGCTCATCCCATCCCATCCCATGCCCATCGCCATCCCACCCCATCCCATTCCACTCCATCCCATCCCCATCCCTATCTCCATCCCATCCCATCTCATCCCATCCCCATCCCTATCCCCATCCCTATCTCCATCCCATCCCATCCCATCCCATCCCATCCCATCCCCATCCCTATCCCCATCCCATCCCATCCCATCCCCATCCTCATCCCCATCCCCATCCCATTCCCATCTCCTGGAGAAAACCCCCGAGGCTCCGGACAGCCCGTTCCCATCACGCCCAGCCTGGCTGAGCTCCCAGGCTCCGGCTGTCCCCGTCCGAGCCCGCACGTCCCCTCGCCGGTGGGACGGAGCGTGGGGAAGGGCCACATCCCACCGCGGGGACAGCGAGGCACCGGCCGGGACGGCGGGAGCCGGCTGTCAGGGGCACCGAGGGTGGGAAAGGCAGCCGGGACACGTCCCTGCCGGGAAAACGCTTCCAAAGAGCACGTCCGACCGCTGGGGAACGGCGTGGGGGGAGGCGGCAGCCCCCCGGCGCAGGCGAGAGCTGTCCCCGCAGGGGAGCGGGGTCAGGGCTCGCTCGGCAGGGCCGGGTCCCACAGGCAGCGCGGGCAGGGCCGCGGGGACGTGTGTCCCCCCCAAACCTTCCCGCGGCCCCCCCGGCTCCGGCCGTGGCCTCCAGGCGCCAGAACGCTTCCAACGCCGGGGTTTCATTCCCAGGGAGCCCCAGCTGTGCCCTGGCCTCCGGCACGTGGGACACGGCGCACGGCTCGGCCCCTCCGCCGGGATGCGCCGCACACCCACGCGTTGGAAAATAAACGGGTTTTTACCCTAAAAAGGCCGCAGGCGACCCCGGTGCGGTGAAGGTCGCACCCAGAGCCACCCCCAGGTGCCACTGGGGACGTCCCCAGGGAGCCCCAGCACCAGCGGGAGACGAGCGGAGGAGCGGGGACACCACCGCTGCCCGGCCACCCCGCGAGCGGGTCTGCGTGCCGAGGCACCGATTTTTCTCGGAGATTACAAAACCAAACAGCTTTGGGTAAGGGATTAAATCCCAACCTCCGCCAGCGCACGTCTCCCCGGGCCCGGCAGCCAAGCGGCGTCCCCACGCCGCCCACCGCTCCGACGCTGGACCACTGGGAGACAAACAGCCCCGGGCCGGGGCAGGACCCCCGCAGCGACTCGGCCTGGCAGGGTGGTCTCCGAGCGACGACACGGCTTTTTAATTACCAACGTGCAAGGCACAAAAAGGAGGGACCGCCGCCGTCGGCTGAGCAGAGCCCACGCCGCAGCGACACCGCGGCCGCGCTGCCCGCCGGCGGACACGGGGTGGGTCCCGGAGGCGGGCATGGGGTCCCCGCTTCCACATCCGCGTTTGCCACCTCTGGTTTTTGTCCTTGAGAGTCCGCCCTGGGAACTGGGGCAACTGGGAGGTGCTGGGATGGCTCTTCCAGCTCAGCAGGAGCTCCCAGGGCTGGGGGAGGGGGGGCAGGCCCGG